CATTAGTAGTATCCAAGGAAAATGGACAAAATCGTAGGCTATAACCTTATGAAAATCGGGAATCATGAAGTATGCATAATTCGTTGCCATTAGGTCGATATTAACAAAAATAAATCAAAGTTGTCAGTTATAGCCTATAAAAATATAAAATTTCAATTTGCATACTTAATTGTTATCGGTCAAACCAGAGGAAAATGGACAAGTGTTATAGCTTATGAAATGACGAATATTTTATTACAATACTTCATTACCATTGGTAGAAACGAATGAAAATGGACAAAATTCAATCCATGAAATCACAAATTTTAAATACCCTAACTTCATTACCAGTGGGTTAAAATGAATGAAAATGGGCATCATCATTGGATATATAGCCCATGAAAATTTTGAATTTTGAAGTTTTCATATTTAAATTTCCATTGATCGAAAAAAACATAAATGGACAAATTTCATGGATTACTCATGAAATTGTGAATTTAAAATTATTTACTTAATTATTATTTGGTTGAAACAAATGAAAATGAAAATGAAAAAATTTCGTAGATTATAGCTCATAAAAATTGTGAATATTTAAGTGTGTTTACTTATTTGCCATTGTGTAGTACCAAATAAAAATTGACAAACAACGTGGCTTGTAACCTATGAAAATTGCAAATTTGAAGTACGTGTATTTCATTGCCATGAAGATGAAACAAGCGAATATGGGCAAAAAACGTAGGCTATAGCTTTTGAAATTCACGAAATTTTAAGAACACATTACTTCATTGTTGTTGGGTCGAAACAAATGGAAATGGACAAAAATTGTAGGTCCATGAAATCACAAATTTTAACATGCTACTTTATTGCAATTGGATCAAAACGAACAAAGTGGACAATATTCATAGATTATAATCTCATGAAATTCACGAAGTTTGAAGTATGTTTACTTGTCATTGGTACAAAACAAACTAAAATTGACAAAATTCTGGGTTACAGCTTATAAAGTCGCGTATAGAAGTATGTATAATCATTTGCCATTCGGTTGAAAAAAATGAAAATGGGTAAAATTTGTGGGTTAGCCCATGAAAATTGTGAATTTTAAGGTACACATATCTAATTGCCATTAAGTTGAAACAAATGAAAAAGAACAAAAATTTGTGGGGTTGTAGCTTATGAAATTCATGCATATGTGGGAACAAATTTCATGGATGTTAGATAGAAATGAACTTGAGGTATGCATATTTAATGCTAATGGGTCGAAATAAATGGAAATGAACAACAACATAGCTTATAGCCCACGAAAATCGTGAGTTCTGGAATATATGTGCTTCAGCACCACATTGTTAAGCTTCGGTGCCAGAAAATTTACACATTTTTAACTTCGGAGTATCAATGTTAAAAAGTTGTAGACTTTACGCTATCAAATTATATAAAAAAGAACTTTTGGGGGATATTAAAGTTAGGAAAGGTGTAAACTTTAGGGTAAAACATATGCCCCAAAGCTCTAATGAAGTTTAATCTTTGTCCATTTTTCGGGTATTTTAGCCACCCATTTCTTGGGACCGAGTATCTGAACTAGGTGAATGGAAACCTAAAGAGATCAAAGTATCGGGTGTGAGCTGGGATGTGAATAGTATAGACATTGCAATCTCCGGGCTTGGATGGTTTTCTTTGGGGATGAAAGGGGAAGCCACTTTGACTCTGTGGACTTTTGATGGTGTTGAAGTAACTCAGAGAGAGCCTCTGGTTCTTGATAGAGCTCCATTTCTTGAAAGACCTGGGTTTTTATTACCAAAGGCGATATCTGATTTCATTGGTAATCAGAGTAAGATTGGGGCCAAAGCGAAGAAGATGGAGGAGACAAATTTAACGGGGGTAGCCCTCAGCCAATAGCATGGTGAGTTGCGTATGTAACTGTATTTGTGTTCTTTTGCTAGCTATGTAGTTTGAAAATTTTGTTGTTGTACCTCATTTTTATGTGCGTGGCTTATTTTGAGGGACAAATTCCCCATAAATGAAGATGTGATGAGATGATATGTTATTATTAGGTTAAAGACAAAGATTTAAACGGCATAAATGTCATTTCCATAGTTTGTAACTGATGCATTAAAGTTGAACATATAAATGGTTAACTGCAGCTGCACATCTTGCACTGCGTAGGTGTACCTGCTTATGGATTCAAATCGTCTCCAATAATTGTAAGTTATTGCGTCAGCACTCACATCTCCTTGAAACATTATTTCCCAAGTTATGCTGGAGGTAATCACGTGGGACTCATGAGATGATAGTTTTTGTTCTTAATCTAGCCAGGAGACGGACTAAAATTGATGGTAAAAGAGTAACGTCATTTGAGGATCAGGGGGTTTAAAAGGTAATAAAAAGTTTAATGACCATAAGGGGATTGTATCTGCAAGAAACCCTAGAAAAACAAACATTCTTTGGATTCAAAAGTTGTTTGGAGACGCTAAAGCGAGTCCTAAAGAGACGGGTCGTATTACTATACGACGTGAGTCAACCAGTAATAAAATGGACGCTAGAGATGCGTAAAATGAGTTCCATGGCCAGTTTTCTTCTCTATGTTGAGAAGGGTTAATCGCAGGTACGTCCCATGTTTTATGGGGTTACAGCTATTTATATCATCCAAGCATTTTATGAGCAATTACATCCTCTACTTTCATTCTGGCATCCTCTGAATTCTAGACGACGAAAGATTATTTCAATGTTGTCATCGCTTGAAGATGAATCGCTTTGTTCCCCGCAATTTAGAGGGAAATTTAGTCAGGTTTGAGGAAATTTAGTCAGGTTTCCAGTTAAAACGAATGACCGCAAAGTAATTTATTTATCCCCCCACCCCCGGCGATTTGTAGAGCTCAGAAAGAAGTACTAGTAACAGTAACAGTAACAGTCTAGAGACTATAAATGGCTACATCTCACAGTACATGAGGAATGGAAGAGTTTTTGAGTAGCCATTATGCGGTTGCTCATCAAAAATGACCCGAATGATGTAGAAATGCAGACATCGTACCTAATGTCTATAAAATTTTGGGGAAAAAATTGGATCAGATGATAAGATCACTATCCTTCGGTGTCAAATATGTGCAAGACTTGAATCTCTCTTTTGTTCAATTCTTTGCAAGTATCCGATATCTTAGTTAGGTAGGCGTCCATGTTAGATTGATTAGGGTCTCAGTGGTGGTAAGTATCAGCATGTCAGGTCAAGCTCAAAGGTCGTAAGTTATTATTGCAGTAGGATCAGTCTCCCTACTGTTATTGTCCCCCCTAATATTATCTAAAACTTACCCTCAGCTAAGAACATCATAAAAACATCATAAACATAGTTTTTTTTTTTTACAATAAGGAGCAAACTAATATGGAATCAGGAGTGATATATAAAACCATGCTCGATTCACTGGTGAAATGCTCAATTTGGTAAATTTCAAAATTGCATCATGTTCACATGTACAGTAGCCAAAAGATATGTAGCTCTTTTGGGTAAAAAGTAGAACTAATTAGCGTTACGAAAACTACTATATGACCATAAATCGTTTACCTCAACTTTTACAGCTGTTTTTTTTTTTAACTGCAAGAAGGAAGGGATGGAAAAATCTATGTGTTCTATTTCAGTCCACAAAACCTTTTGTAGAAAAAAATAAAATAAAATCGGAACTAGTGTCTACTTTGACAGGAATTATCTTCTAAAAGAAAACCATAAAGCTGATCGCATTGCAGCTCAGAATAAACATTGAACTTCATTCTTCAATTGACGGCAAAAGAAGTTGCCTCATCTTCAATACGTTCATGTGATAACCGTAGACGTTTACTACAAGAATCGCACACTATAAAACTCCTAAATGACTTGATATTACCCCTCCACTTTAGAACAGAAGTTCAGATCAGAAAGTTCCTTTTTTCCCTCAAAAAGAAGTACAACAAGAGGGAATGGTTTTTCCTCTATATAAGGTACTCTCTAGAATCTTTGTCCACAAACACGAGGTAGGGAAAAAAAATGCATTATCGCAATGTTACGACAAGGTTTCTATCGATGAATTTGGCACCTCCAACCTTACCTTGCATGCCAGCAGGCAATCGAATGATTCTTCTTTGATCACCAGCTTCTACCAGTAGCTCTGAGCCTCCTCTATACTGTAAGTGAAAGAACAACAAAAGATTAAATCAACGTAATGCTAGCAGGAAAATTAAAATAACCCTCATGAGTAATTATTTCAATTTTTCCCTCATAGGTTGGTTTTCCTGTTGGTGGTGGTAAGGGTGGCCAATGTTGGATCCAGAAAATTTTAATATTATAAAATTATAGTACCTAATGGGAATGCGCTCAATACACTTTAAATGGGCCAATTCAATTTGCTATTAACTTATTTAGTGTTTTTAGATAGTTTTAAATTTTACATTTTAAGGGGGGCTGGTTGTAAATATTACAAGGGCTTATATGCGATTTGTAAATTTTTAGGGATGCGATTGCACATTATCTAGTGATTTGAAACAAGGTTCGCCCTATAGCAAGAGACATTGATGGCATCTCATCAAGTGATCATGCTGGCAAATGGTTAAAAAAAGGAAACATAAACTAATTAGAAAAGATATTGGTCTTAATACCTGATATAGCTTTACTTCCGACTTGTCAAAGCCTGGCATGAAAAGAGTCACTGACTTTTTAGTGGAATCAAATTTAACTGATGCTTGATTAGGATTATTCGCAGAACGAAACATTTGTTTTGCATCTAAGCTTAGGGAATTGAGGATTGCATCCCAATCCATAGAAGAATCTGCGGTGAAATACGGCACAAGTGCATAGTCTAAGGGTGAGATCTTCTCAGCAACTTCCTCTTTAGCCATAGAAGATTGTGAAGCAAACCCAAATGCACCACAAATTTGAGTTCCAGCTTGGATTGCACAACCCCAGTAACGCAATGCAGATATTAATGACACTGGTCTACTTGGATCTATTACAAGATAGCATCCAATCTTTGATGAATCACCAAAGGAGACAGATGCCTTCTGCATTCATAAAAGTCGACAATCATCTGAGAAGCTATAAAAAAAGAGTTTCACATAAATGAAAGTTACATATGAATGCTTGAAACAATCTACAAGACACCACCTCTAGGATTTGTTCGATATCACTCCATATATCCGTGCTTGTTTTCCCGTCACTGGACCCATAATTTGACCTTGCTGATTCATATGCTAGTTTCAATAAAGAAGGAGAAGTCACTCTTCCAATGTCGGTCTTCTCAGCCATGCTTCGTATATATTTCAAATACCATCTAGCAGACAATTAAAGATGCTACTGTCAACTGAGTCCATCAGTATGTGTAAAAAAAGAGATGAGAAAAGAGATGAGACGGAAATCTTCACTTGGCTCTTTCAGTTGCTCCAATCAGCCTCAGTGTATCCTCAGTACTAATGCCGTCATAGACAACAATATCGAACTCTCTTTTTGTACTATATCTTTCACTGGGAAGAAAACTCACCAATTTCTCTAGTGCTAATGCCGAGAGAATGGAATCCATACCAGGCAAGACCCCAAGTTCTTCTCCCACAACCTATTTTTTAAACAAATAAAAACAAAAACATCATTATATGCATGTCTTTTCTTTACAACTCTGAAAAAGATGGCTACATTCAGTAAGCAATTCAGTTTATTTCTTACATACCCACCCCTTCGAGAATCCCTTGAGTCAAATTTAGACGGGCATCCACTTTCTTTACCCGCTCAAGAGGCTCAAGAAGCATCTATACTTCAGAAGAAGAATGATACAGAGAGAGTCAAAATTGTTTCAGGATGATTTCAACAAAACAATCAAAATGCACTTTAACAGAATAAAAATAAGGAAGATGAATTACTTTACTGGTTTCCAATCGAACAGCGGAGAAGTTGTCAGAATACATTCTCGGAGAAGCCCCAATCTTACAACCGATGAGTTGCTCTGCAGTAGGGTCTTGAGAATGTATAACTAAGCATGTACGTAATCCTTCCTTTGCATAATACTAATCGACATAAATAAGGTGAACAATCCTTCAGTTAACATATACAGAACAAACAAACGATGGAACCATTCATAAAAAAGGCGAACTTTGGGAAGCCAATCTTTCACAAGACGTTAACAAGACTTCACGATAACATAATTCCGCATTAACCAAAAAAGAGGAAAAATAATAAGGATTATATCATGAAATAGATAGGCTTAGATTTATCAATAACAGTGGGTGTATGTACTAATGTACATGCGCACATGTATTCAAGTGCAGAAAACTTCAGACTTGGGACTAAGGATGCTACATTATTAGAGTTATGCTAACTACACCTATAATTCCCATACCAACTTACTAGTAACTACTATAGGGCTTAAATAATATCTTCAAAAATAAGAACACATTGGTCAATTATAGAAATTCATGAAGAAGGATCCCACATGCTTGTATATTTTCGAATGAGAGTAGTATATAAGATTTGCAGTATTGTTCGACTTATCCTACATAGAAATGATAATTGTACTACAAGCTTCATACTATTTTTGTACTACCACTAACAGACGTGTGGGTTCTACTTTTTTGTTTGTGGGAGTACTTAGTATAATTTTTGCTGTACAGTTATCACTACTCGTAATAATGCAAAAACAATAGTATGGTACTTTGGGGATTTCTATCCACATTCTTCAATTTCTTGCCCTAATACTTCAAATCTTTCACCAATCGAAGACTTCCAAAAAACTCACCTTGGCAGCGAGAACTGCTGCGGTGGTCTTTCCAGAGCCTCCCTTGCCTAAAAAAGTGACCAGCCTCGTCGAATCCGGAGGAGAATCGCCCGAATTGGCCCTTACAGAAGCTCGAATGCTTCTAAATTTGGGATTTTTAGCACGGATTTGGGGGTTAGGGTTAGGGTTTTGATGGGTGAAGAGAGGAGTTAGGGTGAAGAGCGCCATGATAGAAGTTTAGAAGAGCGGATGTGAATGAGCGCGAGGGGACTTCGGGATCGTTAGGATCACCGGGCGGGAACGTTACCGCTCGGAAGCAAAAAAGAGAGTCTGCGGTTCACAATTTTCAAATGGGCTTTTTACATTAGGGCCCGTTTGTTTCGGCCAAAAAATGCAGAAAATGAAGGAAAATGGCCTTTAGGAAAACTGACACAGGGTGAATTTGTTACTTTCCCTCACAATCGGATGTTTGCTTCGTTAAAAAGAAAAAAAAAGTGAAGAAAAGAGACGGCAAACTGACAGCTTTTTCGCCTTTCCATTTTCCGCTCAAAAACCCCTGATTACAGCGGAAAACTCCTCTTTTCTCTCTCCCGTACAAAAATCACTGATTGCTCTTCCCCTTCCATTCTCGTTCTGGTTACCCCTCTCTCCTGCTCCCGCCCCTCTCTCCCGCTCCCGCCCTTCTCTCCCTCCCGCCCGAATCAACAAAGAATTTCGACCTCCTCCTTCCCTCCTGCCTTCCAATCTAGGGTTCAGCCTATTCTCCCGCTGCGGCCTCCCGTCCCCCCACTCCCTCTTCGGCGTCGACATCGCTGTCCTCGCCGACGACGCCCTGCTCCCCCTTGCCCTCCACCACCACACCTCCTACCCCTGAGTCCAGGGCCGGTTCTGAGATTTTAGGGGCCCTATGCGAAAAGTAAACACATGGTCATTCTCTATATACAAAATATTAATAAATTTCTTCATATACTTTATATTGCTCAAACCTTTTCTTTAGTGAACCAATTACTTGATCTACAATATACAAAAAATAATTGATTCTAAAAGATTCTTAAGCTGATTGTGTTGTCTCCTCATTAACATTCTCATCAAATTGTCTTTTTCTACGGATTTGACGTTTTAATTGAAATACAGAATCAATTTCTATTTCAGTACCAATTTCTTTAGCAATTGTCATAGCTTGTGTGAGCCCAACTTCTATATAATCCTCTGAGCCCAACTTCTCTATAATCCTCAAAAAACCTAATGAAGTAGAGAGAACTTGAAGAACTCACCTTGAAATGATCTTTCACCCATGTCAGCCATTTTCGCTTTATCAAATTCACTGAAAAAAACAAAGAAAAAAATGATGCCCATGTCAGGTTCTACATTAGAAGATTACAAAGATGGGATATCACATCAAATCTTTCTGAAATGTTTTTGTGAAAACTCAGCAAAATGCTCAATTTTACATGTACTTATAATTTATAAATGTGACAGCATCAAGAAATTCTGCTGGAACCAGGGACAAAGTTCTGTCATTTCTTTGTAAACAGTGAACTTCCGTGATGCAAATGAATTCATTTGTTCCTGATTTGTTCTTCTTGACGACCTTCCTCTCTATGATTCCTGCTTTCATCTAATCCTCATTAAGCTATGTATGACAACTATAGAACTGTTGTAATAAATGTTTTTGTTTTGATTAAGCAAGCTTATTTTGATCATGTGCCGTCTGCTCTTAATTTTTTGTAGAGCTTGTCATCATTGAACCCTCTATATTTATTTATAAGAATAAGATGAAAACTATTTGTTTCTACTGCTACTTATGGAAACAACAATCTATTAATGAAAAAATTCCCACATTTTCCTTTTGAAGTTAACCCACAAAAAGCTTCAAAAGAGGCCCAAATTGGATTCTATTGAAAATTATTCCCAAATTCCTCGAGCAAATTAAGCATTAAGTGAAACTCTACAAGAATCGCAATGGAAACAACAATCTATTAATGAAAACTAAGAAAAAGATTACCTTGGATCGGATCAAGATTCAAGATCTTGGGAGGAGGGGGGATGTGATTTTTATTTCTCGCTTTGGAATTCTTTGGTCGGAGAATGACGAGGGCGGAAGGGCGGGTATAAATAGCGAACCGCCTGAGGCCCTGAGCTGAGGGGAGCTTGGCGGGGAGTTGGTCGGAGCCTCGGAGGGCGGTGAGGTAGGGTTGTGACTTGTGCGGTGCGGGCTCGGGCGGAGGTCGAGACAGCGACTCGAGGCGGTGCAGTCGCGGGCGTTGAGCGGAGGAGGCTTGGGGCTGAGCAAGAGGGGACATGGGAGTTGGGACTTGGGAGGAGTGTTAGGGAAGAGGAGGAGGGAGGGATCTGGGAATTGAAGGAGTCTAGGAGATGGGTTTTCTTTTGATGAGGATTGAGGAGCGGGATTTGAGGGAATCAATGGGGGAAGCACAAGAGAGTGATTCGCGGGATTTGAGGAGTGACGACTTAAAATTTTTTTGGGGCCCCCAATCTCAAGGGGCCCGGTGCGATCGCACACTCTGCACAGCCCCAGAACCGGGCCTGCCTGAGTCGTCCACCTTTTGGGTCTGTTTGGATCGCATTTGCGCTGTCTGACACTGATTGAAACCCTAGCCTTCGAACAAAAGGGAAAACACGACAAGATCTTGGTTGATTTATGGAGGTACAATGCTAAAAATCAATTCTTTTGTATTTATATAATTTTTTATGTGATAATCATATTTTTTATTATAATTTTATATCCTCATTATCTATTTTACATGAATAAATATACCATTAATAATTGTTGTTAGATTAGTTTCCACATAATTGAATGAAAATATAAATAAATATTATTAAATGTAAAAACCCCTCAAAATCTCTCTTCTCTATTTTGTAGCATTTTAGAAGCCTAAAGAGCATGAAGCCCGTCAAGCAAGTGAAGAAAATGATCAATTGAAGCCAAAAGCCAAAATGTCCAAAAGAAGCAAAGTCCTCTTTATTCTCAAATGAGCTTGAAGGCCCAAGCCCATCAACAAATAATTACACCCATGAAGTCCCCAAATGACCGAATTTGATTTGTGCTGCATCAAGACCGGAGTTGGTTTGATTTTTTTTGGTTGCTGCAACTTGGTCACAAGAAATAAATGTGTGGGCCGGATATGGACTTGCTTTTTCATTTTTTTTTTTGTGAAAATCAAATGAAGTTTCAATTGGGCCAGACTTCCAATATTGATTGCTGCAGTGTTTATTTTCATCACATGAAGGCCGGACTTGATAGGCTTGAGAGAATTAATGTGTGCATGGGCCGGACTTGGTGTTGTTTTGAAAATCACATGTGCACAAGGGGACATGGGCTACAGTTGTGGACTTTGCTTGAAGCTCTTCAATTTTCTTTTGAAAATCAATGAAAATCAATTGGGACCGGACTGCTGGATTCAATTGGGACCGGACAAGCTGCTGTATATTTTGAAAATCAAAATCATTTTAATGGAGAAATGGGCCAGACTTTGGTTTTTCTTGGACCAAATGAGGACCGGACTTGTGATTTTGAAAATCAAAATCATTTTACTAAAGAAATGGGCCAGACTTTGGTGATTGGATTTTCATTTTTCTTTTGAAAATCAAATGAATCATATGGGCCTCCTATATTTGGGCTAGAGAAGAACAAAAAGCAAATTCAAAGGTGGAGATTGTGGCTTGGGGCTCAAGACAAATCCAATGGCTCATATTCATTGAAGATTACTATAAATAGGGGTAGAGAGTGAGGGGTTAAGGGGGTGAAAATTTTTGTAACTCCTTTTGGAGAGGAGGGCTACTCTTAATTGAGAAGGCCTTCCAAAAATTGTAACTTTAGTTGCAATTAATAAAAATAATTTTTTCCTCTTTAAATTTGTTCTTTCTCCTCTTGTTGAATGATGAGGATGGAGATGAAGAGCAATTTGAAGGTTTGCATTTCTTTTCTCTTTTATTTCTTTTTAGTAATTTCTTTATTATTGCTTATTAGTTAGATTTAAATTCATGCTTGTAGTATAGATTTACTTTCTTGTCTTTTTTATTTTCTTTTTGCACTTTAATTTGTAGAGTAGATTTATTTTTCTTGCATTTAATTTCTGCAATTTATTTTGTAGTTTAGATTTTTATTTTCTTTGTAATTAGATTTATTTCTTGTTCATAGTTTAGATTTTTCTTTTCTTTTTAATTTTGTAATTAGTCTTCTTTTTCTTGTTTTTATTTCTTAAGATGTGAATTTAATTCTTGTAGGAATCTTAGAATTGTATGAAACTAGTCTAATTTCTTTTATATTGTATGAATTATTCTCTTGTACTTAAAATGTTCATGTTAGGATAATCAACTAGAGAACTAATCGGTATGAAGATCACGGATTGGAGAGCTAGGATTTGAAGATTTGCTTTCAGGTAAGTCCTCTTTCTAGTTTTTAATTCCACCCTTTAGCTACTTCTTCACAATTAGAGACAATTAGGACTTAAAAAAAAGAGATTTTATTTTTGTTGACCATAATAAAATTCACCATTAACTTTGACATTTACTAACAAGATAATAAATTTAAACAAATCCCCCCTTCTCATTTGTTTGATTGTTAACCCTAATTAAAAAAAAAATTCTTTTCCATCCTTTTTAGTTGCTTTTATTTCATAGGGTTGCATTTCATATAGTATAGGAATTCACCAAGTGATTTGAGCATCTTGATTTGGCACACACTTAAAAATATTTTTAAGGGCAAAACCCCATAATCAAGATAAGGTGAGGGATTTCATCACCCTTTCCTTAGCCCAAAAATCACTAATTCCTCACTACACCACCCAAGCCTAATAAAACTCATTAGACGTTGGCCCCTAAGGATTCGAGCTCAATAAGGAACAAGAAATCCTTAAGTGAACCGGTTTAAGTTTTCTCAGATTAGTTGGTGTCTAAGGCAAGGTTTAGGGGTTGCGTAAAGCGCTCCGCAAGGAAAGAGGTACTTAATTGATCTTTGATCACCCTCTAGTACTATCCTTACCTGGCTAACTACCTGGGTAAAACTTTGATCTTTTCACTGTAGGAGTTTTTGGTTAGGAGCTGGTCTAGTGGAGTTAGGCTAAACCCTAGAATTAGAGTTGATTAAAAAGTGATTGCTTTGATTTGTTTTAGTTAGGATTTTTCTTTTCCTTTATCTTCTCATAAAAAAAAACTAATTTTCTTTCTTTCTTTCCTAAAAAAAACTAATTTTAAAAAAAAAATTTGGTGTATGCAAATTTGGGTTCGGGATAATTCTCATCGTTTAATCCGTGTTGAACCAATCCAAGAAATGGC